ATGTTTTGTTATTCTGCACCAAGCTTTCAGTAGAGCTCGGAACGTTTTAGAAAAGTGGGCAAGTCTGACCCCATTTTGAATAATAACTGGGATAAAGAAGTAAAATTCCTTCTCCAAGGAGTCCCAGTGTTCCTGTTAACAAATTGGGGATGAATGCACGTGCCTCTTTCCCCTGCTTTGTTCTTGAAGCCCTTAGAGAAACTGGTGGTGGTCTCAGTAGAGTACAAAATGTATACTTTTTAATGAGTTTGTTGCTCCTATGACCTGACTCCGCATGCCGATGGTTTCCATTTTATAATGGGAGGTATCATGGTGTGGTGCTTAAAAAGCAGTTTGTGCTTCCTCTATTTGTATCTGTTTTGTGATTAAATAAAGACCTTCAGACTCCAGAGAAACTATTCCAGCACCTTTTCTCTGCAGTAAATTATGACCAAATAACAAAATGTTTTAAACTCTCAAAGACTGTAACTAAATACAGCCAGCATTCCCCTACTTTCTGAATTACTGCAAGAGAGCCAAATTCTCTGTGGTGGCTCAGGAGATCAAGGGCACTTACTCATAAGTGAACACGCATGCTTACTACACTGTAGGTGCATTGTATTGGGAATAGTACTGTCCACATGTTGAGATGGTGAATGCCTAAAACTAAGCCAAATAGTTCCTGTGCTTGAAATCCCTTCCTTGAGAGCATAGAGTCATTTCATAGTATAGGCGTAAACTACATGGGCTTTTTTCTTGTGTGTCTTGAAAGCCAGATGAATGTCTGCATTTATTAAGGACCACGGAACAAACTCTGTGAGTGGAACTCCACTATTAGTGAGCTACCACTGCCAAGTGCACAGAGCCTAAAAAGATCTGTTTTTCAGGTCCAGCACAGGGGAGCCGCTGTGAACTGTCATCATTTGATGTCTCTTAACAGCTTTTAAGTTCTGTAGTAAACATGGACTACTTTAAAACCAGAGCAGCAGTGGGGTGCCAAATGTAGGTTCCCCTTGGAGGTCTTGGTCAGTAACAACATTTCTGAATGTGTTAGCTGGATCTGAGAGGCAGGACAGCTGTTCAGTGCACTTCTGAGGTAGTCCACCATGTCCTAGTATGACACCCTGGCTTCATTTCTTTGTAATTCTAACTCATCTTTGACCTCTGAAGCTGAAAACTTGTGAACGGTCTTTTAGAAAATTTCAGCCAAAATAGTCATACCATTTTTAAATGCAAAACGAGGAAAACACATTGTATTATCCGTGTTAAAAATATTCTGGAATATCTTCTGAGAAGTCTTAGCACCTTTGTGGCTTCGGGGAAAATGGAAATTTTGAAGTGCATCCTCTGCATTAGGAATGTTCTTTTATCACCTTAAAGGACACCTGGCTATGTTGTAGCCCTCTGCAGAATCACACTTATTGAATGAAGGCTCCTTCAGCAGCAAAAGCCTTCATCACTGAGCATGGTCCAACTCCTTTGCATGACTGGACTTTGAGTGCACATCCCTTACTGGACAACCAAAAGTACCCCACCACCCTCCAGCTCCCATGTTCCACCAGGAGCGCAGACCCTGCTGTCTGAGCAGGCTCGTGCTCGGAGGCTACGAGGGCAAAGGCAGGCTATCCCCACAACGCCTGTTTAGCCAGGAAATTGGGCAAAGGCACTGGGATAGGGCAATGTAAAGCAACAGTGAGGAGGAAACTTCCCCACTTTGCTCTAGTTGGTTTTCCTGCTGGCAGGTGAGTAGAGAGCAGGAGGAAGATGGTGTGGCTGCTGAGGGGAGAGCTGCCAGGAGAAAAGCTGGGACGAAGAGCTTGGGGAAACAAAAGATCAATGGTTATGAACCAGGATGCAGAAGAGGGTCTTGCTGAGCCAGGAGACTGGTGAAGGAAGTTGATGGGGATGAGGTGAGGTCTGGGATTAGGTGTCCAAAGAGGAGAGAAAATGGAGTATGGCTGGGGATGGTGGGGACCAGGAGAAATGGAGCTGAAAGGACTTGGGGTGTGGAGAAGGAGGGAGGAGTGAGGAGAGGGACGGTGACAGAAATGGTGTAAGTGGAAACAGTGATCCAAGGAGAGCGCAGGGCAGCTGATGTCAGATGAAGAGAGATGGATTTTGGCTTTAGCAGAGGAAAAGGAATGAGGCACGGATGGGGAAGCAGAGGTCAGGGGAGAGAGAGCGAAGAGAAAATAGGTGACAGAAGTAAGAACTGTAACATCTGATCAGGTAATCCTAGCCCTGACTGAAATGTAGCAGCAAAGAGGCCAAATGAAAGGCGTGCGAGCAATCTTCCTTCTGGTACTTCTAAACTCTTGGAGTGCCTCCATACCAATAATGCTGTCTATTTTAGGTGTGTTTGGGTGTGCACATGTGCCATGTAGAACATCAGGTGGGCAGACATGCATGAATGTAAAAATGCAGTCTTCCAAGAGGTCATACAATACAAAGGTTGAAGCTCTACCACACTTTTTTTTCCTCCTCTGAAATAATCATACCTTACATTTGTAGATCAGAAAATATGAGGATAAGTCCCGATTACTGCAGGGTCCCTGAGACAAGTTGAATCATTGGGGTTGAACCATCTGAGAAACTGAAATCTCTGGACGATTTCAGCCCCCACACAGCTAGGAAGGCAAAGCTGCTGTTGCTTGTCTCAGAAATAGAGGTCTTCGGATTTATTTTCCTGCAAAATCAAGAGCTCAAAAAAACTTGCGTTCACTTTTGCGGAGTTAAGTCCAACAGTCTGCAGCAGTGACTTTCAAACCGTAGTCTGTGGACCACAGGATCCATAGACAGCTTTTATAAGGCCTGTGTAAAGCTCTCTAAGAAAAACAGGACTCCTGCTTAAATTCGCTACCATCACAAATTTTACATACAGAAACTAGGAAAAACTTCCAAGTCCTTAATGGACCGTGTAAAGGTATGGGGGAGACCCGAGGCACTTCAAAATCAGGCCTCCTTTTATGAAGTGGCCAGTTCTGTGGAGCCAAGGTTTAGCATTTGGGTGTATGGTTTTGTTTTATGCTCTTTGGGGCCCCTGTCTGCCGAGGACCATCCTTTCTGACGAAGATAAATTGCCTCTGCCCACCATAGCTTTAGGTTTTAGTTCCAGCTGGGATATGCCAGTAATCCCGAGATACAAAATCATCTTCTGAATAAATTGCAGCTAACTTCAGTTGTATAAAACTGAGCATTAGCTGGATACTATAAATAGGCAGGATATGCAGGGAGGCCAAGTTGAAAATGTGCAGGAACCATGCCTTTTTTCTTTAATGAAACCCCAACGTTGTGCTAGGTTTCCTCATGTTTAATATTTTTCATCTGAAAATTAAACAATATGCATGTGCTTTGTGGCTGCAGTAATTAACTGGACATAACAAAACGTTGAATTTCGCACTTCAGAGAAGCGCATGGGGGAGGATGGGTAAGTTTTTCTCAAGTTTTCTTGGTTTTAGTGCTTTCTTGGAGGTAGTTTTCTGCAAGATTGGGCAGAGAGCAGAAATACATCTGGTTTATATTATATGATGGCTGTACTTTGGCAATGGAAAAAGATGGCACTTAAAAAAAAGGAAAGAAGAATAAAAAAGAAAAGCTTGGCAACTACAGAATGGAGCAACAATTACAAGAACTATCTTAAAATTCCCAGGATTTGTAATTTATTTTTCCACGCTTGCATTTTTCTGATGTTGCTGATGTTAAAAGAGTGAGACAGAGGAAATTCAGTAGGATTTTACAAAGTACAGATATCTCCGTGAAACAATCTCCTTTATTCAGGTTGCCCGCATAGCAGCTGCTGTGATTAACGTGTGGGTGGTAGCGAAAGGGATAGGAAGCAGGACTCGTATGCTCACTTTAGAAAAAGTGATAGATCATAATTTCTTTCTGTTGTTTTCTTCAGCCAGTCGCCATGAAGTAATGAAGGTGGTCTCCCCCTTAACTGCAATTATCTATGGGTATAAGGCAGAAGTAGAATTAATGCAGATGTTTTTTGGAAACAGAGGCATGTGAGGCATCTTTGTGGTGAGAGAGGGGAAGAGTTATTCAAGCAATGCAACAGCACCTAGTGATTTGTCACCTCCTGCGGTTTCCGTTTTTTCTTTCCGTTATATATTCACCCAGGAAACACTCTTTTTTTGTTCCACTCGCATTAACGTAAGGTGGTCCCAAAGTACAAGGAGCTGAGACTCTATTCATGTGGTAGACCTTTGCATCTTTGACAAAAGTTGGTGGGAGCCGAGGACACTGAGCATTTGTATTTTGGAACAAGACTACGGAGTGTGACATGTGACCACCTTCCAAGAGTGGAGTAAGTAAAAGTGATGCATCCCATGGGACTGCTTTTCACACCCTCTCTTGTGGAGAATGTAATGCCTCAGCCTTTGCAGGGCTGGGGGCTGGAAAGGTTGAGAATTGTGCCTTCCCTGCAGCGGGGTCTGAGCTATATGACAGTACCCCCAGGTTGTTCAGCAACTTAGCTGACTTGAAATAGAGCACTGGAATGAAATATGTTCTGAGTGATTTTTAAGTAAAAGCTAATGTGAAAATGTGGGAGTTTGAACCAATGTAAACACATTAAATTTAAAACCATTTTCAAATGTAGTAAAGAAAAAAATAGTGTTCCTGCTCTTGAAATTCCTAAAGGACACATTTTTCCTTCTGAGTCATGGTTTAATTAGATTATATTTTATTAGACATTCTTTACAAATTTTAAAATATTGCTATTATACATGCACAAAGGAAAATCAGTTTGAACAATTGTATGTAGGCATTCACTGAAGTCAACCACAAAACAGGAACATCTTATGTCAGTTATCAATGTACTCGATATGTATATCTAAAGTGCATTATGTTACAAAAAATATAGAAAGTCAGCAGCACCAAGATACGTTCACAAAATAAATACACCAGTCAACAAAATAAATTATGGTAAATGTGACAATAATAATTGTCTTAGCCTTAGCAAAAAAAAAAAAAAAAAAAAGGAAAATTCACAATAACCAAATGTGCAGTTTCAGAGAGCAATGGGGGGAAAAAAGTTTTATTCTGAGCATTTACAATATTTACAGGTAATAAATATTTTAATACTTCCCATATGTTCACTATTACAGAATACTGCAATATGTCTTCCAAAAATCTCTTGCTGAAAATGTCAGCGCCTCCTGCAAAGAAATGAAGGGCAGAAAAAATACAAAAATTAATTTTTCACTTCAAATACATAGACACAAAATTAATAGCAAGAGTGCCACAGACTACAAATGGGTGTGCCTTGCTAATAAACATTTGCAATAACAGGGCCGGTTTAAAAATGCTACAGTTTTAGATATCAAGACCTCTACTATATTTCCTTCAATGCAACTCATCTGGCAGAATGAAGACTTGCAGTTTGTCACAACACTTAGGCCATCTATTCCATTATATTTACACTCAGAGAAATAGGAAGAGGCTTTGGTTTTCTTCTTTCTATGCAAGAAGGTTCCTGAGTGCTACAGGTAGAAAAATTGTACCTACCTATAATAAATATGCCAAGTACTAAAAAGAAAAAAAAAATACAGTTGGAGAAATGAGACATTTGTTTTGAAGATAAGAAAAAGAAAGTCCTTATTGAACACTGTGGCAACCATGCCCCTGCTGTGTTAACTGCTTGGGTGTGATGCCAGGCTTCTGATTACAACAGTCCCATGGGGCTTATTTGGTCCATCTTTCCCACTGGTAGACCGCCTGTTAGACAAGGGTCTGTTCATCTTAGAGATACATATTTCTGTGGTGTCATGTATATGAGTAGATGCAGTACCCATGCAGTAAAGGTTGCTCAGGTCTTGAAGTGAACAGATCCTTGATATTGCGTTTCTTTAAGTGCTTGAATGAATGAGAAGGCTATAATCCTGAAACTTGCCCTCTGTGAACCTAAGAGCTTGGTCCTGAGGGAAAACGAGCATCTCATCGTATTAAGCTCTGACTCCTGTTGCATTCAGTCCAAGCTGAAACAGTCAGCTGTATGCAGTCCTGAGATTTAGGAGTTTTTTTTCTAAGGGACGCTGGCAGCCTGGTGTGTGTTCTCTACTCCTCTCTTCCTTGTGAAGGCACAAGAACAAAAGCAGACCCTGCTCCTATCCTGTTAGTATATTAATTATACTACAATATTATTTTACGTTATTTCTTAGCGGTACTGCAGGAAATGCTGAAGCATTGGGCTTCTTTCCCTTCTGTCCCTGTGAACGGCACATTTCTATAATGCGTGTTGGTTCCCTGGGAAACAGCTATAGGGTGGAATGTGAAGCTATAGGATGGAGAGGGGTTCGCTCTGTTGCTGGACTGATTGCCGAAGCTGCGGGTAGTATTCCACATGGCAGATATGTGTGGGCGTGAGATACAAAAAAAAAGAGGAAATCCTTGAGACTTTAGCAGGGTTTTTTTTTTATGTGAACATTGAAAGTGAGACTACATTTAACATTAGGGAGTCTACTAATTTGAAAGGTTTCTTAGGAAATTAGGTAATAACAGTTTAATTGAATTGGAATGGGAATATAGCTGGAATGTCCATGAGAAAGATTTTTTTAAGTGCCTGGAATGGGAATGCTAGCATGAAGCTCCTTAATAATTAACTAGTCATATTAGGGTGTATTCAGGCTACATTACAATATGTATGATAATGGCACGTGATTCATACAGCATGACTGTATATGTGTGTCTGCACTACACAGGCCTATTTTTAAGAGGGTGACATTTTCAGTTTGGCTTGGACGTTAGGCTTTGTTTTAGAGTTTAAGCAAAGCCACATCTTGACAGTGGGGTCTGTACTAATGACTACTTGCAAGCTGCTTTTTGTGATTTGCTCACAGATTTTGCAAGATTGGTTTCTTCTATGAGATACTTCCTGTAGTAAGTCAAAAGATCTAGAGAGCACATTATTTTTGGTCATTTTTCTGACCTAAACCCAAAATTTTGGGATCAAGATGGCGTGGAGGGAATTGGCACGAGGATTTTAATTCAGTGTGTTGAGCAGAAAAGAAGCACAAAGATAGAGTGAAAAGCACTAAAGTTTATCTTTGCACTCCCTTGACATTTACCCTGCTGCATTGTGTGTATCCACTTCACTGCAGAGTGGTGATGCTCCTCCTAAGCTGCAGCTAGCCTTAGGGGTAACTTCTACTGGTGTAGCATATGGAAATCCTGTCTTGCCCCCCAGGAGCAAATAGAGTAGAAGTTCCTGATTCAGCTCAGTACAGCTGAGGAATCAGCCTCACTCAGATGTGGTCATTCCTTCATCTAAAATGCGCTTGCCCACCTTGTGCCAACAACCGCATAGACAACTGCATTGAACCTGACTCTCCCATCTGAAGTACATGTCAGAGAGTTGGGACTAGCTTTCATTTAAAGTTTAGAAATTATATCTTTTGCCAGCCTACTGGGATAACTACAACCTCATATACTAGCCGTTTCTTAAGAGCTGAACCAGCATATTATGCTCCGTAATTGTGAAGGAAGAATTTTGTTTTCCTGTTTTATGGCTTCTCTTTGTTTAATAGTCTTCAATCAAGTAACTAAAATATAGGTCCTCTTTAGGAATCTGTTTCTTGTCCTTGGGAAATACTGCATCTCGGGCAACAATATCAGTAAGGTAAACCTGGACTGCCTTCAGCAGTCTGGACTGCGCAGTAAAGCTGACTGCCTTCAGCCATCTAACCATACCTGAAACAGAAAGGCTGAACTAGGAAAATCAACAGGGTTGTACCTGTAGTTCTTTAACATATCCCATTGGACAGACAACCAACGACAGACTAGTAAGAAAAAGAAATAACAGTTGAAATGCCCTAACATGTTCTTTCC